TTTGAAATTCATAACAATAGGGTGGGAGAATTGCCTGGTTACTAGGCAACATAGACAATAGTGTGAGAGAATAGTGTACAATAGTGTGAGAAAATAGGATGAGTCAGCTAGCTTGGGGACTTGTGATTGGTCCTTGAGCATAGGCTGAGTCAACATGACTCATCTCTATAAATAGAAGGGAATGAGTCATATGGACATAGAATGAGTCATGTCAAGGGAAAACAGAGGAATGTCTCGGATCCTCCTAGAATATTCTGCGCCCTGAATATTCTCACAGTCCTCCTGCTTTGATGCTGCGCCGAAACTGTTCTCCTTGCATTAGCAAGTGCTTTGCATGATTGAAGTCAATGTCGTATATGTCTTCATTGTCGATTCCCAGCCAGTTATTGAAGATACTGTCCACCAAACCTTCCATTACCGATCTGTATATTCCAAATGTAGTGGCTTGAAGCTGGTACTTGTGGTACAGTTCAGGCCTGGAAGGGATACGTTCAGCACGCAGCGACAGCTTAGTTTGGCATTCGAACGATCTCCTAGTCTGACATCGGGCATCCCAGGATTGGAGACAGGTATTAAGTGTGGTGGAGTCCGAGATGCCTTTGGGTGCCAGTTGGTTGATGAGGATGTCAGTAATAAATGCCCAGGCTGGGCGGGTTGGGCTCAGGTTCAGGTAGTCTCACAGCCAGGTGACTTTAATGGCATCATTTCGGGCCTGAATGTCAAGGAGGCTGATACCGCCTTCAGACATGTTGAGGTACAGGTGTTCAAGTGCAAGGGGGGATTGGGTAGCGCCATCCCAGATGAAGCAGTGGATAACCTTGGTAAGGGCGGCCTCTACTGATTTTGGCATGCCTTGCACTTTAGTTAGGTATTGTGTCATACCACCAGCTACTGTACCGATGTGTATGGTAACAACGGTCACAGGTCACAGGCACCCTGTCGTGTTGTTAACTGTACCTCTGGTCACCGGTCACAGGGTCTTGGTTGTTATGTCGAAGTATGTTACAGAAGAAGGTCATAATACATTGAATTACAGTGATCTACCGCACACGAGCCTCAGAAGCATCCCCCGCGATGTCTTCCTCAGCGGAGGACCCATCCTCAGGCTCCGAATCATTAATGCCAGCTGTTGCCATACCCTCACTGTCCCCCTTATCTATCTCATCATGTATACGAGACCCCGCATGTCTTGCAGAAGTCCAGAGTTCCCCGTGCTTGTCATAGGCCCAAACACTCTCCGCTGTGCTGGTAGTGCCCAGTCCACCATCTGTGCGGGATGTGGCATCAGTCGGACTGCCACAATCCGGCATACCTACATCCGCCTCCGGCATGCTAACACCGAATTCCTCGTGGATAACGGTACTTGACGGTACATCTGTATCATCAAGATCACCGGAATCGTCATCCAGAAATGCCTGAATGCCGACAGAGTCTCCCACCCCTTTCTCGATCTCGTCCCTGAACTCGGGATGCGTGTTTATGTACTCTTTCAAAGCAGTGAAAGCCTCCTTGCTCATCACAACTTCGGGAGTCAGGCTCCATTGCTTCACACGGCACTTAGCCCAGGCCTGAGATATAGATCCAAATATTAGCTACAGTAGTTAAAAATGAATATTGTCAACTCACCATGTTCACCAGCTTTTCACCGGCCGGGCTCGTGAAAAACTCGTAAGTCTTGACGAGGTGCCGTACAGACTCATTCCGCAGTACGGGCAGAGATGTAGCATACTTAACCTGCGCCGGAGTCAGACCTGCCGAGAGCTGCTGCCGATGATACTCGACAAGTGATTGGAGTGATTCCTGGCGCAACCGATGCTTGATAACACGCTGTAGTCCCACATCGGCCGGTTGATAGACACCAGTACCTAACCAGTAGTTCATGGATTAGAACAAGGTGGCAGCATAAATTAGGAAACTCACAGTTTGGCGGCACATATATCATACAGACATTTGGGAACTCTTCCTTTACATAGCCTCGGAAGTCCTGTCCGGTATGAACCGGATAACAGTCCAGCAGAAGAATGGACTTCTGGTCTTCATCAAGGTCGGGGTCTTCTTCGATTGTCCGCTTCACATACGGAGCGTAAATATTTTTCATCCACTAAGCCATAGAGTTCTGTCAGAGGTCATTACGGAGAACCTAGACAGTGTCCACTCACCTCTTTCATAGTTTTGAAAGTACTGAAGTGGCTTCCTTTTTTGCCCCCTTGCGCGAAGGTGAAATCAAAGCCATACCTTATTGCTTCGTCCATGCCATCAGCATCTCGGTCAGGGAGGACTCTCGGGGTTGTTCCACCCCAGATCTGCTGCATCGGAAGGAATTTGCCCGAGGCGGTGCTGGTTATTGCCAGCGTGTATGCCCGCTTCTCGTCTTTGGCGATGATATCAACCTGTTTGGCACCAATATCATGGAATGTTTGGTTAGTGCCACCTGTAACGGTTTTGCCTTGTTGGTCCATTCCTATCCATAGCTACGATAGAGGAGTTAACATAAGGTAATAAAAGAGAGATAATATGCCTTACCTTTGGTGGAATATGTTCCCATCGGTACAACCAGACAAATCGGAAGAAGCAGCGTTCACAGAGCTCCTCTGCATTCTCTGGAATATGAGCAGCTTGTCGGGTACCCTTTCGGACTGACCAGCTCAGCCGACTTTCAACAAAGTCGCGAACAAAGCTCTCGGAGCACTTGAAGCGGTCAAGAATCTCTGGCTTCTCTTCCTTAAGCACGGCAAGTACAATGGAACGGACAACAAGGACATTCACAGGCAAACCACTGGCACGCAGGCCCTTTAGCTTGTCTGTGATCATCTTTGCGAGCACTGGATGTCGCGAGAGGATCCCAGCTCTCCCAGAGCCGGCGAGTGCATGGCGGCGAGCAATGTTATCCAGAGTACCCTCTGACCACCCATTTTTCGAGTCATTCATCCAGTGATGGACGGTGCCTCGATGCAGTCGACTGAAGAGATCACTATGGTCACGTTTGAGGGTTTTGACAATAAGATCGGCAGACCAATGACATTTTTGAGCCGCCTTGTCGATGTGAACCCATAGGAACGGATGATACCAATTGGTCCGCTTGTGACGGCCTTGGACCACCCCCCCCCTGGTACCATTCCTCTTCTTCTTCCAGTCCGACCCTGGTCTGGATAATTCCGCAACATCAAGGGCCGTCACCGCATCATCACTGTCATCATCATTGCGTGAAGCCTACAGATCTGTAATGAGAGTGATTACAATAGGATTGTCGATACAAATACGTACTGTTTTTGCCTTGTCCTTACCCATGTCATGGGACTGTGTCGCTGCCTTCTTTGCCGCTCTCGACTTCCTTTTCCTTTCCTTTGCACGCTCTCTTTGTTTATCCTTCTTTCGCTCACGAGCGAGTTCCTCCTTTGCACGGAGCTCCTCAGCACGTTCAAGGAAGTCTTCGGAGTCTCTGCGTGACCGATCTCGCTTCTCCTCTTCAGTGAGTTTCTTCCATCTGTAGTCGTCAAAGGTCTTCTGCTTCAGAACAGGTGCTTTCCGTGGACTCGGGGGTGCTGCCACACTTCCGCTGGCGGCCCCGCTGTCCTCGGGCCCGTTGTCCATCTCGCTCCCACTTGATGCAAGGTCAATCACCTTCTGCCGTTTGCCTGGTGGTTGCGGCTGGGCTTCGGAGTCACTGTCAACATTCTCACGTGAGGAAGTCGCAGCGTGAACTGGATCACGGGTGCGCTTCCGGCTTCTGTCAGCGTGTTTTTATTAGTGAATCTTGTCACCAGCATGGAGAGAAACCATACTTCTTTGGTGGTACCTGGGCACCCGAGCGCTTTGCAGCCTCAATCAGCCTCTCTACCCAGATCTTCCGTACGAACTCTCTATCCAAGTCTGACTTCAAATCCCGGATAACCTCTTTGATCAGCTTCACCAGGACCTCAAGTCGAGATCCCCTTTCCGTAAAGCAGAGCAGACTATTGGTGAGCTGTAGCTGATGGGTCTGGAAGCACCTTTCGAGGTTGCTGTTGAATGCAAACCATATCCCCTCTTCCTCCTTCTCCTTGGAGTCAAGGCCAAAATGATAGCGGGAGTCCGATGCAGGAGGATCTAGCGGTAGAGAGTCGGGTAGATGACGAAGTAGAGCTTGCAGAGCATTGACTCGAGATATAATGGCTGCAGGTGGCCCTGTAACAGTACGAGGTTGTGTGGCTCTTTGCCCTGCCGGGCAGGAGTCAGACGCCATGTCAAGTGTGTTACAGTTTACATGCTGTAAATTGCTCTATTTATACGTACAAGGAGTGGTTGTGGCTAGCATCCTGGGGCAAGGTTGTGGCAAATGAGTGGCCGCGATCTCATCCCGGATCAGCGGGATCACTCCTATAGCTAGTTGTGGCTGGAGAAGTCACTACCCTAGTATATGATTGGCCAATCTGCGAGATGGTGGTTTAGCCGCTCTGATGTGGCCCGCGGACGCACCCGCTGCATCATGGTTGTTAGGTCTTAATATGGTCACAGGTCACTGGTGGCCCGTTGTTAAGCGAGTTAACAACGGGACGCGTCACACTTGAGCCGGCGGTTGTTACCATACACATTGGTACAGTAATCATCTCCCAACTCCCTTGCAGCGTCAGCACACGCATCAACACCCAACTTAATCTTATCTCCCATGTCTGGATAGGCCTCGTCCATAAGAATACCGACTGTAATGATGTCAATGGCGATCCGCACAACCTCCTGGATTTCTCTTGTCTGCGCGGTCAGATTGAGGGTGCCTCGAGGGTTGTAGACGAGCTCCGTCATATCGTAGTGGGCGCCGCGTCCATTTTGAGAGACAACGTCACATACATCATGCTTCACGACGGTAGAGTCGATGGCTGTAGAGCGCGCTCGAAATGCAGGAGCGGCAGCGGCTTGCTCGTGGCCAGCTCCGGTTGCAGAGTTGCGCCAACGGGGAGCCTTCGAATCTGTCACAATGTGTTATTCCCATGGTTTGAGGCAGCCATAACGTACCTCTGACTCCTGTATCAACTTTCGCTTCGACTTCACTGGACGCGAAGAGTCTGTGTACACATTCTG